GACTAGTGAACTGCCCTTGTGCCCTACTGCCCAAGACTGAGAGAAAAATCCCACATAACTCACTGTATACACTCTCACTCAGAAGCACTAAGCAAGATGAAGCTAGGAGACAGCCATTCATCTCTGAAACACTGCACAGTTGCAAATGAAGCCTTTTGCTCTCCCACCTCTCTGCCTCTTGAGTTACTGGCTGTAAAGGGTGGAAACAAAGCAGGATAATCAAACCTTTTGAAGTTAGTTACATCAGCTGAAATCCTCTTTAATAATCAAAAAGAAAGTTAACATTTTTCCAAGATACAACTGCACAGGGGAAACACAACTAGCCCCAAAAGGAAGAACAGGAAACCAGCAAGGAGGAGAGTGAAAAAGCACAGCAAGGAACATGTCAAGTCTAGTGCTCCAGGTGTGAAACTAGGGCACCTGATGGTGTGATATGGGTCCCCGAGAGCTTGAGCATCCTCATCCCTCCAGCCTGGTCTGATGTGGGACCACTCCCTAGAGCTGGTGTGCTCACTGACTTTCACTTCCCTGAGCAGGCATTTCATAGGCCTGACAGTGCTAACTTACTGAGGTCTCCACCACAACACTGGCTCCACTCTCACAGTTTGACAAATCATTGTTTCTGGTGCTACTGGATTACGCTCTGACTGTGACATGCTCTTCCTAGTCACCAGCCATTCCTCTGAAGTATCTATGCAAACCTTCACAACCCTACAACTCTTCATTCTGTAAGCCTGACAACCAGCATCACATGGATAATATCAAGGTAAGCTATGAACCAGAACATTAGCCAGGCCCACCTGGACCAAGGCCTAGGGGAGCCCATATGGTGTTAGTTACACAGAAAAATGAATATTGATGTAAGTATTACAAGGCTGCCATAAGCAAGCAAGGCACCCTGACACTCTCCACAAGTTTTTGAGCCTTCTGAAGGTGGGGTCCTTCCCATTCCTGAGATGCCTAAAGGTAGCTTCTGTATAACAGAACTATCTTTAACAACCGCACCATCCTTGGCCCTAATATTACAAGGTTTTCTTTTTTGAAAAGCCTGCAAGTAATTTAAGTCTTTCTACTCTGGCTTTTGCTCCTGAGCATCACTGTAAATCAGGCTGAAAGCACTAGACACACCCAGTCCATCTCAGATGCTGTACTGCCTTGAAATATTCTCTGCTGGATTAATCAGTCTGTGTTTTAGTTGCATTGTACATCACTGTGACTAAAAGATCTAACAACAAAAATTAGAGCAGGAAAAGTTTATTTAGCTCATGATTTCAGAGGTCTCACTCCACTGACCACCAACTCCATAGCTCTGAAGCCAAGGTGAGGCAGAACATAGTGGTGGAAATGTAGGGAGTGGAAAAGCAGCTCAGGATATGGCAATGAGGAAGCAGAGAGAGAACTCTGTTCACCAGGGACAAACTATGAACCCCAAAGGCATGCCCCCTTAGATTGAATACTTCTAGGTCTACCCTACTTGCCTATAATTACCATCCAGTTAATTCATACCAGTAGTTTAATGCACTCATTAGGATTAAGCTCTCAAAACCCAATCATTTCACCTCTAAACCTCAAATCAGCATCACCTACAAAGCTCTCTTCTAGCACTCTAGGCTTTCTCTAGCCTGTTTCTCCAAGCTTTGCCAATATATCCTGAAAACCAGTTCCAAAGACTTTTGAGTCACCTGAACAAAAACGGGCACACTATTCACACCATTTTTTCTGGATTAGTCAGTCATCTGTCACAGTATTAACATATCTGAGATCAACAACATAAATGAAGGAATAATTAATTTGGACTCATTGTTTGGAGGTTACAATCCATGACTACTTGAACCTGTTGCTTTTGGACCTGAAGCTGGGCAGTATAATATGCTGGAGAAAAACTATGGCCAGGAAGAAAAGTGAAAAAGAAAGGTCATAGGGAGAGGGAAAGGCTTAGGTTCCAGTATCCCATTCCGAAGAACAACTCAATGACATGAGTAACATCAAATATATCCCACCTCCTAAAAGTTCCCCTTACATCCCAATAGCACTATCCACTAGAGACCAAACTTTAACTCATGAGTCTTTCTCAGATGGTGATTATCCAACCCTCAGAGGGGACTGAGATTCCTTCACTTATTCCTTCTACCATTTCTCTCTCTCTCTCTCTCTCTCTCTCTCTCTCTCTCTCACACACACACACACACACACACACACACACGTACCATCCTATCCTGCTCAGGAACCATCCCTGAGTCACAGCCAGAAGGAGAATCAGCCGAAGGAGCCAGACACAGAAAACCTTTGGTGAGTCCCAGTAAGGAAGGGCATGTTTTGGGGTACCGTGGTTACCACCTTGAGCATGCAACTGATAGGTCAGCCACTCAATGGGAATAGAAAAAATGAAGGTGGCACCACACTGTGAGACAAACCTGAAGTAGGGATTTGCTTCCCACAGGAAGAGAATCCTTACCCTTCAGAATAGAAAAGAGAATTTTACTTCAATATATGACCCAATGGAACATAGCTACCAAAACATAAACTCAAATCTTCTCTGGGATTTGGGGGCTCTGGAGGTCCTGACTAGCCCTGAAGCCTCAGATTTTCCAGGAAGGGTTATCTGATCTCCACCAGCAAACACCACCCAGGGCACATGTGGTAGTTGGGGAGAGGTTCTGCAGGCTTCAGCAGCCTCACACTGTGGAGCACAGTGTTTTCATCCACCAGCTTAGCCTCAGAGTAGCCACCAGCATCTGTCACTGCCCAGATGATGCTCAGTGTGTTAGCATGGACAAGGACTTTTCCCAACTCACCTCCTCTCTTGAAAACCCCACATTTTTTTTTTTGCTTGCTGCCCATCACAAACATGATGCCTATTTGAAAGTTTCTTTTCTCCACAGCTATCTTATAACTGAGACTTCTAGACCACACATATGCTGCAGAAGAACCTGCTTGCCTAAGTAGCATACACTGCTGAACCCACCTGAATAAGTAAGAACAAAAATCAATAGACATGTGGATTCTTTGCCCCTGAAGAATTAACTATCCCTGTTAGGAGCAATGCTGTGGGTCAGAATGATCAGGATAAACACTTTCTCAAAAGGGTCCCTGATGCCCCATTCACAATACATGGACAATCTCCAAGATATGAACACATTGTTGTCTGAATACATTTACTTCACATGAATGTCTAGTATTAATAACTGTGAGCACACATGCACAACAATCATGAATGCACACATGCATACAAGAGGTTTGTTAGTAAACACTTAGCAAGATACAATATATAGGGGTAAGAAAGAAAGCTTTGACTTTTAGTTCATGAGGTATACCTATCTCAAGACTAATTTCAAACTAAGACCTGATGCCACTAAACATTAAACTGAGAGGTCGGACAGCATCAGCTATCATAGCTGGTTCATGGAAGCTCAAGCACAGAAAAAGTATGTGTACAAAATTCACCTGTTCCCAGGGTACTAAGTTGAATTCCAACCTTAATGCACAAACAAAACCACATTAACGTCTCCACACAAAAATGCACTACATGGCTTCTGAACAGGTGAACATTTGATATCTCCACCTTAAACATATAGAGAAACCACCTGTTACTAAATAAATGTTTGGAGAAAAATACCCTATTTATCCTAAATATTCATGTGTTTTCACACAATTGAGCATACACATACAACATGGGCCAGGCAAATACCTATACAAAAAACACACTGCTCATATATACCCAATGAATACCCTATAGGCACAACCAGTTATCTTTGCACTACACAAAACAGACCCACCTAAAATCATGTTCCCAATGAAGTGCACCAATAGCCAAGTACAGTATATGAGGAGGGCGCACTACCCACCTTCCCAGCTGTGGTGCTAACACATGACTCCAGCAGACCTCACAGCATCTATGAAAACTTCTAGCGCTGGCAGTGCTTCAAGACCCTGGTCCACAGGTACCTTCCTCAGACTCCTGATGTGGAAGTGCTTTCCTGCTTCCTTGAGTGAGTGTTCTCCTCAGGCTCTTCCTTGAGCTCTGAGGAGGAAAAACACAGGTTGGAAAGAGGAGGCTGGGATGTAGGGGAACTGAAAGAAAGGTCCTGAGGGTGAGGGGACAAGCTGAGACACTTACATTCCCAGATATATTCCCCTCACACTAGGGAATAAAATGTGCCTTATGTCAGGTGCCCATCTTTGTGCAGGCAATCTTTGTTTCCAATGATCATCACCATCACATGAAGGACTCAAGGTCAGAGGAGGTTCCTGGGGGTACCTGCCTCTTCCAATCATTTCACCTTCCACCATAGACCTGATTGTTCCCAGCACAGGGGACATCACAACCACAAATGGAGTTAGGGGTGTTGGTGACAACACAGATACCCATACACATTGCCATGAATTCCTGATCGGGACCCTCTGGTGATGTGGCACTCATGGGGAAGCTGTTTTTGGATACTGGATGGGGATGTTCATCTTTGCTCCAGTTTATAACTGTGCTCCCAGGACACTCTGTGCACAGTCTTAGTCAGCCTGGTCCACCATACAATTCTATGGAACATGTAGACACAAACACAGACATTCCTTTCTCACAGTTCTGGAGTCAGGATTCCAAGGTAAAGGGTACTTAACCTAAAGTCCCATGAATTCTCTCTCTTCTCCTTGCTTGAGAAGACAGCTGGCTTACCTGTGCCCTCACATGACTGACATCTCTGCAGTGTATCCTTCTCCAGGAAGAAAACTAATGTCCTCATGAAGCCTCACTTTCAGGATCTCATCTAACCCTCTAAGCACTAAAGCCAATCACCAGATACCATCCCTGTGGG